GCTCCTCTCTTGTAGTTCTTTGTTATCAAAGATTCTTGGATTACCAATTTGACTCCTTAGTTAATGAAGCAAGAAGCTTTTTTCCTTTTGGATTTACATGATAGTTGGCTTCGTAATTAATCTGGTATGAGCTAATTTACATAGCTCATAGTATATCATTAAAACACTGCATAAATCTGCGAAAACAAATTCATTACAACATTAATTTTAAAGCCATGGATTGATAGGTGTAAATATCAATACATATTTCAATCAAGTGTTAAGCTTATTATTGAAAGGAGACACCATTCTCCGGAGAACTCAAACTAGGAGGGCATTCGTTAAGTGAAAGATTCTCATGAACCAGTCACGTTTACACGAAGTTAGAATGTGGCCTATGGTGACTCCACACGCAACACCAGGTACATAGCCTATAACTGCTGCAATCCAGCTCAATACTTGTTCATCGTCTTCCTCTTCTGCATCTTGATCTTGATTTGTTGCTGCTTCTTCTTCACCGCAGGTTTTTTGGAGAGGAAGGTCGCAAAGATTGGGATTCTCTGCGAATGAAGAACTATTCTGGCTTTGAAACTGAGTAGCGTGTGGTATTGGACCTTCAAGCCTGTTGTAAGAGAAGTTCACCCGCTCTAGAAACGTGAGTTTCCCGAGCTCTGGTGGGATTTTGCCGGATAATTTGTTTTGAGATAGATCTAATGATTCAAGATTGGTCAAGTTTGACAGAGATGGTGGGATACGGCCTATGAAAGCATTGTTTGACATGTTTAGCACAATCAGTTCCTTGAGTAAACCGATGGACTCGGGGACTTCTCCTTCAAATTGGTTTCCAGAGATATCGATGGTTTTGTAGATTGTGAAACCACTCCCTACTAGCTCCATCTTCAATCCTTTCGCCGTCATAGTCACTGAGTTATGATAGTTTCCAGCGTTACGTCCCACACGTCCCGCAAACCTACTCGGCATATCATCTATAATGATTAAGTGTTTTACATACTTGATCTGAGTACGATATTCTACAATGTCCACGACCAATGATGACATTGCAATCCAAAGCGCAAAGTAATCTGATGAAAAGACTCCGGTGAAGCGATTATCTGAAATGTCAAAGACTCGCAGCTTTGGGAAACTCAAAGAATCTCCTGGAGAAGATATTGGCCCATAGAATTCGTTAGAGCGAAGGACAAGAATCTGTAAATTGTGAAACAATCTTAACCAGAATGGAAATGTGTCACTGATTTTGTTGTTTTCCACGTTTAGAAACTCGAGTTCAGTACAATTGATAAGGGACTTGGGAAGTTCTCCTGATAACCGGTTGTGACCAACGTTAAGTGATCTCAAGTAATCACTAATAGATCCCTCTCGAAGAATACCAGAAAGGATGTTATTCTGAAGATGCAGGACCGACATACGTGTAAGATTCTTAAAACACTGTGGAATCGAACCGCTGAAGTTGTTGTTGGATAAAACAAGTGTGTCAAGAGAAACCAGTTTGCATATTGCCCTCGGTATCTCTCCCGAAAACCGATTGCCAGAGCCGAAAAAGAACTTAGTAGAGTTTGGTAACAAAGGAAGATCCTGGAATGTGTTTGAACTTATATCAAGCATTTCTAGTTTACTTCTTTGAATAACACTTGCTGATCCTGCAAAACAACTGAAGGAATTATAGGAAATGTTCAAAAACCACACCTCTGGCAGTGTCCATATCCACTTTGGTACTTGGCCTTCCATTTGGTTGGCAGATATGTCTAAATAAGACAAACAGCTGGTTTTGGTTTGTAGAAACTTGGGGAAAACTCAACAATATTGCAGGAAGATAAACTCAAGGTGGATATGGATGAAGAAATAGGGAGAGTTGAATTGATATTCAAACTAATCCCTGAAAGATCCAAATAATCAAGTGACATGAGAAGCTGTGAGAAAATACTCATGTCAACCATGCTTCTTGTGTTAAGATAAGAGATGTCAAGGAACATAAGTGACTTGAGATGCAAGAAGATGCTGAAATCGACAATGCCCCTCTCTATGTTCCATAAAGAGAGGTCAAGATAAGAAAGATTGACTAGTTTCGATATAGATCCCGGGATTGGTCCGTTGAAACTGTTTTCTCCAAGGAATAAGACTTCAAGTTTAGTTGGAAAAGAGATATTTCCAATCTCCAGAGGACCACTGAAGTCGTTTCTTCCCAAGTCAAGTTCTGTCAGCGAAGAGATCATGAAGAGAGACGAAGGAACTGATCCGGAAAACAGATTTTCGTTAATCTCAAAATTCTCTAGTTTGGAGAGTGTACTCATGTTAGGCGCGAGCATACCTTCGAACTGGTTAGAACGAATGTCAATCGAGGTGAGCTCGGTCCAGTTAAGTAGCACACGAGAAAAGTTGCCACCGAGCTTGGTTGATACAAGTTTCAAATATCTTAGCTGGTATAGGTTGCTCATCGAATCTGGTAGTTCCCCTGAGAAACCATTAAAAGAAAGATCAAGCTCAGTGAGGTAAGAAAGATTTCCAAGTGAAGAAGGAATCTTGCCAAAGAGATTGCATCCACGAAGACTTAAAACCCTCAAATACTTGAGGCTACCGATGGAACTTGGTAGAGTACCCGTAAAATAGTTGTAGGAAAGATACAGGTTGTGAAGATGTTGTAGTCTAAACAAACTACTATTAGATCTCAAAGGGCCATTGAGAGTAGTTGCCTCAAGGTCTAACTGAACCACCTTACCAGTCTTAGGATCACAAGAGATACCGTCCCAATAACAACAATCAGTGTTGTTCAACCACAACTCGTACTGCAACGGCTCCTCGACACAGAACTCGTTCTTGAACTCCCAGAGAGCATCTCTCTGGTCTGGACGACACAAGTGCTTAGCTGGAGAACCAAAAACAAGTACCGAGTTAGAAAGTGACAAGACTATCAGAAAAAATCTCCATATTATCATCTTCCACTCACTACAATAATACATCATATAATCTCTCTTTTTCTTTGATGTTTTCTGTAAAAGTAAAACGAGGTTTGTTGATGAGTGTTCACTCTAATGCTGGATTGTCTCTTACGTTTGTGTAAAAAGGTTTAAATCTTGACTTAACAAGTCTCCTGTGATAAATGTTCGGTCATCTTCCACAAAGATTATAAATTTCTAAATGGTCCACAAAGCTAATCAAGTATACTTTTGAAAAATGGCTACTCTTAAGAAACTGTGCTATAAATTAACGTGCCTAACCTAGAGTAGACAATCATAATCATATTAGGTAGACCAAAGAAGGAACTAAAGAGTCGCAAGTGAACTAGTTAGTAGTTACCATCTGCACACTGGTTGTCTTTTGAGACATAAACCCCGAAAACTTGATAAGTTAGGGAACTGAAGTAACATTAGAAGTTGAAGCATTCGCATAAAGTTGTTTGACAAAACTAAGAATAATTATGTTCAGTACTATCAAGAAGATGATGCCACCATCTTAAATCAGCTCGGGCACAACAAACATATCCCACAGTTCGATCCATCTCAGATTAACGACAAAGTTCAGATTAGCCGCAAGACCAACGTCCCAGCACGGAACCAATCACGGGGTATGGATCAGCAACGATTGTTCAGAATCTTTGAGAGAAGAGCAAAGCTAAGATTTAGGAACAGTGACGTTAACTATCTTAACATCTTGGTAAGGCCTGTCGTTCTTGTCAGTCTTCACTTTCTCTATACCCTGTTCATTTGGTTTTACGGTTAAACACAAAGCCACACTATAGCCAACAAGTAAAAATATT